ATCTGACTTTGTATACTTGGTTTAATGTTATAATTAAAGTACCCCAAGATGATTATTTTTTATATAATAAAAGAATATTATTATAAAATAAAAAATTCCACGGAAACAAAGGTAAAAAATCGAAATAAGTGTCTAGCTTTGAATATCTATATCACTGTCAATTTTTGTCGTAAAACTTTTTTAAATCGCTGCTTGAACGGATGTTACGCTAGCTTATTTTTTTATGAACTAACACTTACCTATACCTAGGTCCAATAAGAAAAAGTTACAGCCGAAAATAAAAAAAAAAAACAATTTTTCATTTTTTGATATTATTTTTGGTATTGATTTTGTTGGAAAATGTATTATTAGTGATCAATTGACACCGCAAACAATAAAACTCCACTAGCGTCATAGTTCCTTTTACCCCTGTTATTTTCTATATAGAACCCTATGGTCCAGATGATATAGCAGTATTATTGCTTTAAATGAAATGGAAGAGGTGTTGACAAAACATTATTGTATGAAAATAAATAAAAGTAAAACTAAAATACTGGTATGTAAGGGAAGAAAAAGTAGGGAACGAGCCAATATAAAGATAGGAGACGAAAAATTAGAAGTGACTGATTTTAGATATCTAGGAAGTCAGATAAGTCTGGATGGAAGGAGCAGTAGAGATATAAAACAGAGGATAGCGCAGGGTCGAGTCGACTTCAATAAAAAGAAGTCACTTCTATGCTCGCTCGTTAATTTAGAAATTCGAAAAAGGTTTTTAAAAGTGTATGTATCTAAAGCGCGGCGCTGTGCAGGAAAAGAAAAGGGTAGAAGCGTTCGAAATGTGGTGTTACAAATGAAGAAATGAAGAGGTATTCGAATGAATAGGTGAACAGAGGATGGAAGTTAATAAGAAATAGGCGAGATAGGTTGGTAGAACACCTTCTCAGGCATGAAGGGCTAGTCAGAGACATTAGGGTCATTAGCAGGAGTTAGAGAAGAGTAGAGGTAATAGACGTAGATTAGATTACAGTTCACAATAAGTTATGGATGTGCGATGTTTAGGGAAATACGAATATTAGCTCACGATAGGACATAGTGGAGATGCGGGTCCAATCTGTCTTAAAACTGACGACCTTATGATGATGAATCGTGTTGCTAATAGAGCACGCTGCTCGGTGCTTAAGCAATTTTGCTTTCATTATAGTACCTATCCATGCGCCCTTTTCGCTTCACTTTGCACAAACAGAATTACAATCTGTTTTTGATAGACTTTAAGTTATGCTTTATACGAATTTTATGAACGTTCAGATAAGTTGAAAACTTTTCTATTGAAGTAAAAATTATATTTTGATTTGTTGAGAGCTAGCCTACTAAAACAGTATCAAAGTAGATTTCTGCTACTATATGAGTTTAATTAATTTTCCTGAAAATTTTGTACTTTATATTCTAGCAGGTACCTAGTTATATAAAAGTTATTGTAATTGTTTTAAAGTTTGTCAAGTATATTTTAAAACAGTTTTGTTTGTTTTAAATGTAATTGATGATACTTAAATATGTGCTATTATTTTCATTGTGGACTGTAAGGGTCGAGCTACTTCTTTATTCAGTGGATAAATAGTCTCTCCATTAGTTTAGAAGTAGCGTGCTTAATTGGGGAGGATAGGCAAATTTGGACGTTTTGTCATAAAAGTTTGTTTCTTAGACACGACGGGAGGAAACTTCATATTAGTATTTGTATGAAAGCTTTCAAATTTGCCCATTCCTTACAGCTTTAGACAATTATTGCTACATCGTATCAGTAATTACATTATAAATTTGTATTATGAATATGAAATAATAAATTAAACTGAAATTTTTCAGTATCCATTGCCGTGGAAACAATGTCCTAACCAAAGTGGCATTGTAGTACCAGAATGTGCTAAGTCTTCAGCAACAGCATATTTTTGGTATCGTACAACTTTAGATGCTTCACGGTCAATTGAGGAACCAGGAGTCCCTAGATGGTGGATAGTACTATGCTTACTTTTGGCATGGATAACTGTGTTCTTTATAGTTATGAAAGGAATTCAAAGTTCAGGAAAGGTATGCACATTATTATTGGGCTACAGGAACTCCACCGCTGAAATTTTACTGCGAAAGTTTCACCGCGGAAACTTTACCGCGGGGGAAAGTTGACCGCCTACATTACACCGCTTGGAAAGTTCATCGCCATATCAAAAATTGAAGAAGTAATTGTTAAAAAATACGAAAATATCAATAAAACGTTTATATTTCTTATTGTTTTTTTTATGCTATTGATATTTGACAGTTCGGAGCTGCTGATTCATTACATAAGGTACAAGCATTCAATATTATCTGATGGAGTGCATCGTTCGTTGTTTTTGCATAATTTTGAATCTGATTATCATAAAGCGGTGCATCACTTTCTGTGATATTTTACAATTTTGTAAAACACTATATATTCAATAAAGTTCAGAAACTTTCTAAAATATTTCACAAAACTTTCACAATATTTATACATATGGGTATAAATCAGTTGCACGCCGCGGGTAGTTTACTCCCTGGCATGAACCAAATAATCCTAAAAGTTATGGGACATGAAATTATAACCTTCTGTGTCATGAGTTAAACTAATCTATTTATTTAATCTTTGATTTTGGTGGGTAATTACTGTAATCAAAAATTATTGGCATAATATAGAGCAAATAATGACAAATGTAAAAATTTAATTAAATGTGAATTAATATTATACCTACCAATTATAAATAACCTCAAATTAATATACTCTGCATTCGACATTTTGAAGGTAAATACATTACAATAATCCTAACCAGTCTTACAAAAAGGAGAAAAACAAAGATAAAGAAATAAGTAAATATCGAGTTTTTTAAAATAAAGCGATGACCTTTCCAACGATGTACTGTAGGCGATGAAGCTTCCTCCGGAGTTAAGGTTCTTCGGTGAAATTTAGCGGTGAGCATTCCTAGATCTGTTATTGTTTAGCAAGATGTAAATTATTTTGCTAAGTTGATTTTATGCAGTCTGTTAAATAAATATATAAACTGAAGATCGTAAAAATTTAATATAAGAAAATATCCCTTTTCAAAATATTCCTCGTATATTGATTACTTTTTAAAGTCAATATTGTTTTGGACGGGCTCATATCATACAGTCATTAGGGGGCATTTCTATTACTAATTTGCTAATGGTAGTTTTATAATGACAATTGCAAACCAGTTTATTTAAATATAAAATTTTTCACAAAAAAGCGCAAGAACAAATATCTTAACAACTCTCAGGCGCCGTCGCGCACAGAATGCAGATTTATAATATTTGCCAAGTCACGTCATATTACCCAAAGACTGCCCCTCCCTCATCTCATTGTCACACTTCGTCACGCAACCACAAGACCCCTTCTCCCCACAGCGTAACGTAAAATATAGAAAACCCCTAACCTGAGGTACAGTGAAATTTTCTGTCTTTTGGAGGTTTTTTTAAATTATTTTTAAGAGTTTGCGAGAGAAGAGCTCGATGATGCATTCAAAAACTTAAAGAATAATAAGGCGCCAGGTGTAAATGGGAAAAAGGGGGGAATTCTAAAACATGCAGGACAAGAGGTTAGAGATCGTATGTTTAAGCTAGTTAGTCACATTTACGATACGGGGAAAGTACCGGAGGATTATAAACGTAAGGTAAAAAAAGAAGCGCGGATAGGCGCGAGACATTTAGAACAATTACCTTAACTTTCCATGCGTCAAAAGTCTTAACTAGAATTGTACAGAGAAGGATGGATAAAAGGGCGGAAGAACTATTAGATGAAGATCAATTTGGGTTTAGACGAAATAGAGGAACGCGGGGGGTTATTCTGGCTTTACGGGTAACAATAGAGAAAACGATAGAAAAATGAAAGAGCCCGTACATAGGATTTGTAGATTTAGAAAAATCTTTTGACAATGATAAATGGAACAAGATGTTTAATATACTTAAAGTTTGTATAAAGACCTACAGGCAGTTATAGAACTGGAGCAGCAACGTAGAGAAGTAAATATTAGGAAGGGAGTCAGACAGGGATGCACACTGTCACCTCTCCTTTTTAATCTATACATCGAAGACGCGATCAACATCATTAAAGACAGTACAACTGTAGGGATAGATATACAGGGGCAAAAAATTAGTATGCTTAGATTNTTGATATTGTTTCTCCATAAAACCTTTTAACTCCCAATTCACCCTTACAACGTTTTAATTTTATGTAATATCGCCATCTTAGATTTCAAATACAAACGTAGCAACAGCATTTCATCCTTAAGAGTTGATTTTTAGAAATTGCCAAAATACGTATTTGCTTAATTTCAACAATGAGCAACCTTCGAGTAAATCCGAGTATAAATAAAATATACCCCAAGGAAACATTTGATTAATAATATCAAACAGCATATATACCAAGTTGCAAGTAAATTCAACCACAAATAAAGTTTATCCCATACAAAAATTGCAACACCTTTTTACACCCCCCCCCCCTTTGGAGGTTGAATTTTTTAAAATGTCGAGATAGGTCTTTCATAAATTAAATGAGAGACCATTAAGACCAAGTTTCATATATGTTCCATTTAAACATTGCAACTCCTCACCACTCACCCCCCCCCACAACAGCAATTGAATTTTTTAACCAGTTTCAAGTAAATCGGACTAAAAACTAACATGCAATCTTTGCAAACCTGTTTCAGCTTCCTAAGGAGGTAGAATTTTGTAAAATGTTGAAATTTTATATAAAAAAGCATCAAAGACAAGTTTCAGGTAAATCTGACTATAAATAAAACACCATACATAACCATAGACAACATTACGTTTAGATGTTAGTTGTGTTTTGTTATTCCATGTCAGTTGCGTTTTCTTATACCACTTTTTTATCTCGTTCGTATCATATGTCCGTCTTCTGGTTCTAAGCTACCTCCCCGCCAATTTTCAGCCAAATCGGTTCAGCCGTTCTTGAGTTATAAATAGTATAACTAAAACAACCTTCTTTTATATATATAGATTAGGTAACGCTTCAATCTTTTTGTTGAGTTTTTTCTAGTTTACTCCATAACTAAAGGAGATGTTACCGGCATTATCAATGGTGTTTGTGCTCTGTCAGTTGATTCCATGTTGGGGCAAAATGATTATATTCCTCTGGTAGAATAATTCCGATTTTTGTTATTAACATATTATTATTGCAGCACAAATTTTACCCTTGGTATGAGGATTGTAATATCATCACCGGGATGCTTTTGGAAATTGGAACAATTTTGTCGCGACATGCATATATGCTTGTTTCGGACTTATTTTCATACATTTTATAGAGTATATCCCACATTTCTTTTTCTAGGAATTTAATTTTATTAAATAAATGAATTATCATAATGAATTTTAATGATAAACGTGCTTGTTCAAAATATTATCCATATGATAAACCTTCCTGCCCCGAAAACTTCACTTGAAAAAATTGCCAAATATACTGTGACTGTAGCAAATTAGGAATAAGGAGTACAATTGTTCTATAAGAAATATATGGGTATGAATTGTGACAATCTTGAAGTTTTTGGACATTACCGAAGAAGAAGTCTTGACGAAGCATTTTATCTGGAATAAATTATATTATATTTTAATGATATAATGTTCAACGAGCATTCTTCCAGCAGGGCAGAAACGGCTCGGTTTAGTATTTTTTTTTTTTG